CCTAATAGACATAATAAGTCAGTCCAAATATCAAAATCATTATAGGATCAAATTTAAAAGTAATGAAGAACAATAGAACCTGATTAATATATGAGAGAATTTTGTCTTTCAACTGCAAAAACTACTATGTAGTTACAGCATTATTATTATAATTTATTCAATGAAAAGAAGATTTTTCGAGAATTTACGTTCGAGCTCCTGGTGACAGGCTCCGACAATGTGAGAATTTTGAAGGAAGGAAATGTCCAACATAGGAAGGCTTGTGTTTAGACTTCCTCTTGAAAGAATGGACCTTAAACACTACTTTGGTTTCATTACAAAACTTTCAAAAAGGTTGGGCATGGTTTCCAGACAAAAGAAAATGCTATGTGTACACCTCATTGTGTACACAATGCATTACACCCCTCTCCACCCTAAGAAGTATATGCCGTCCATATATGATGAGGAAAAATGTTATGTGTCCACCTCATGGTGTACACAATGCATTACACCTCTCTCACATAGAGAGGGGTTCACGAATATTTTATTGTGTGTGGGCTCCCCTTCATATGAGGAAGGTGTAATGCTATGTGTACACTATAGCATTTTCCATTGACCAGGCCGGTTCTATATACCTCGAAAAATAGAATGTTGCAACATGATGTTATTCAGTTAAGAAATTACACCCACACAAATTTTTTATCTTTTCAGCTCAAAAATCTTATTTAAAATTTTTTTAATTAAAAATTCAGGTTTTAATTCAAATTTTTAGTGTTAATAAATAATATCATAAAATCAAATTAATCTACCTATTCACCCCAACCCTATTCTATCTCACCAAATTTTACTTCAAACCTTATTTATTTCCCTCATCTCTCCTCTCTCAAATATTTTCTTCCTCAACAAAGCCGCCAAAAAATGCCTCCGAAGTTGAAAAGCACCGCCGGAATACGTCGCGAGCAGCATTGTGATGCTGTACACAAAACATTGCGTGCAACGGAGTCATCGATCGCTGCGATGAAGCCGCACCGCGCACAATAGTTGCTGCGATAGCGGCTGCTGTAGCTGCTTCAGATTTCGAGCTATAATCACCACTGCGATGAAGCCACGAACAGCGATTGTGATGGTGAGGTGGTGGTAATGTTGGATCTGGTTTGTGCAATGAGAGCGTCTGCAGTTCGATAGGTGCTCTATGGTGCAATTCATTAATTGATAGCAGTTGGATGCGACGTTGATGGAGTGAAGCTTGGGACCTTGGTAGGGAGACCCCTTGGCCGGCTATTGGTTCAACGGTGGGTTGTCATGGTGGTGGTACAGGCGGTGGTATAGGTGGTGATGATGGTAATATAAGTGATAGTGGATCTAGTGGTGGCGGTGAGGTTTTGGTTGTTGGAGTGGTAGTGATGGTTTCCATATTTTGGTGTTATTGTGGGTTTGGGGTGGTTTTTGTTGGTGGTGCAGGTGGAGGTGCTAGCGGTGGTAATGGTCGTGGCCGCGATAGTGCCAGTTGTGGATAGGATGGCTATGGGGTGGTGGGAACGATTGTGACCAATTATTGGCTATTTTGTGATCGATAAATATTATGTGATCAGTAACTTGTAATCAGTAAAAAATATGATCTAAATATTTGAATGGGTGGTTTTTGTTGGTGGTGCAGGTGGAGGTGCTAGCGGTGGTAATGGTCGTGGCCGCGATAGTGCCAGTTGTGGATAGGATGGCTATGGGGTGGTGGGAACGATTGTGACCAATTATTGGCTATTTTGTGATCGATAAATATTATGTGATCAGTAACTTGTAATCAGTAAAAAATATGATCTAAATATTTGAATCGTGACTTGTAAAGTTTGTGATTTGTGACTGATAAATAAATTGTGATCAATAATTTTTTTGATTTATGATCCATGGATTAATTTTAATCTATAAAAAAATTTATTTGCAACCGTAAAATAATTTGTGACCTATAAAATTCTAATTCGTGATCGAAAAATAATTTTTAACCAATTAAATTCAATAATTTGTGACCAAATAGTATTTAATTGTGATCTTAATTTATTTAATTAACAAAATATATATTTAATTAATAATTTCATAAATAAAATTTAATTAATATCTAATTTTTGAAATTTTAAACCTTGCATCATAATTTTGAAATGGACCGTCCTAGATATGAAATTTTCCATTCTTTTGAAACAAATAAGGAAATGAAATAATTTTTGCCGTACTGAAACAACGAGTTGTAAAAGATGCAATTGAGGGAGAATTCAACACTTGTCAATTCATAGTGACCGTTCGTGCTAGCTCCATTGAAAAGTTGTTTTTCCCCCATATATTGGACAGCCATTGAACGACCATGCATACTCGCCTGGATCTGTCCTAACTCGCGAATCCATCACCGGATGCAACATGATATAATATCCAATAATTTGTTAGAGCATTCAATCATGACGTTGACATTTAAATCTTGTATTATAAAGATAAATCATGTAAAGGCATTTTATAACATATGCTTAGCAACGAATTCCAAGTAAAAACATGTAGAAACAAGTTACAATGTTGCAGAAAAATTCTTTTTTGTAATATGATCCATCTGAAAATAACATTTATACAATAAGATGAATAAAGTAAGTTAAAACATATAACATTCATATGTTTTAAGTACCATTCAGAAAGTTGCAACAGAGTTTAAACACAAATCCAGACAATCTATTTATTTCAGTATTGCGACACAAATTATGGATATAAGTTTCGATTCCAGGCTCCGAATTTTCTTTGACGTGTATGAATCATTAGTTAATTAATTATAAATTTTTAGTTTAAATAAATTATTGAATCACAGACAATCACTTGAAGCTACAGTTGTATGAAGGGAAGGGTACGTTATTATTTATATCTAACCAATTGGATTAATTACTTCTAAAAGTTCACATCAATGAACAAGATATTGAGGAATTGTTCATACGTAAAATCATAATTATAGATACGGGCCTTTATTGATAGGGAAATACATTAGTAATTCAACAAGATTTTTCATCAATTTCTACAATCTATTTTCTTCTATTTCTTTCCAATTTATATACCACCAAACCAATTTCATTCACAGTAGGTGTTATGATTAAAGTCATTTAGGATTTTAAATTTCGATGTTTTATAAGTGAATTTTGACCAACTGTTGTTTTACTAAGATTTTAAATACAAAAAGAGGAAAATAAGAAAAAGATGCAAAGAACTGATGGGTGACATTATGTCTCCGTGCAATATGTCTGGGAAAATTCCTCAAATACAAAGATTCTTTCACAAATTTCTACAGGTTGTAGGCAAATTTTATTTATTTATTTATTATTATTATTATTATTATTATTATTATTTTTTTTTTTTTTTGTCATATGCCAATCAATCAATGTCATATGGAACCTTATAAAGTTTTATAGCATTACTCATATATCAACTTGATGGAAATTTATATTTAAATGTCCATGTGATATGCACATGATGTCACGTGACAGGCACATGACGTCTGTTTAAAAGAGTAAATTGTGAAAAAAGAAGCAACATTTAGCCCTTGTTAGGTGAGAAATTAAAATTATATCTTCAGTAAATTTTTTAAAAGTTGACGAAATGTATGATTAAAAAGTTGTAAATTCTATAAAATATATGGTTAAAATTATTGTATCTTTGACTTAAATTAAAAGCTCATTTATTATTGTTATTATTTTTTTAGGTACTTTTTGTTTCTTCTATGTATCAAATCAGTATTAGTTTTTTAGCCTCCCAGCTCCATTCCTATTTCACTTGCAGGGGTGGATTTAGGGGGCGACCACCCTAACTGAATTCGTCGAGGAGAATTTTTTTTGCTAATAATAGATAGAATTTTTAGATAATATATTTGATAATTCATATTAATAACAAATATTTTTTATAGATCAGGTGGTTAGCCCTTTCATTATTGAATTAAAGGTCTTGTGTTCAAATATTTTCAAGAGCAATATTTTTTTATAATTTTTGCATTAAACAAAATTTACCAAAACAAATGCAAAAAATGTAATTCAAACCTACTACCTTCCTTAAACATATTGACCATTTTATCATCATGGCACTTATTAATTTTTAACATATAATGTAACAAAATAATATATGTTCAATTTTACTGGTTTAATGCAAGTGGAAACATTAAAATCGATGTTTTGTCTTTCTTCTTGATATGCTTTTTTTTTCTTTTTTCTTTTTTCTTTTTTTTTCCCTCTAATCAATTATTTTGAGAATTTGGTCAATTAATGGTTGATGAATTTGTAGGAAAATTGACCTTAGTCTAATCCGTACAAATTTTTGAATATTATTTAATTAAATATTAATAAACAACCTCACTATCGCGGAATTTGACCGTCGATAGTAAGCTTTCAATGCTCGTGATCCGCCCCAACTGAACTCGACCCTTGAATTCGTCTCCCTTCACGTGTTTATTTCATAAACGTTTAACGTACAAAATATACATTCTTTCTTTAGGTAGGAATATCACAAACATAATGTAAAATAATTTGGGGACATGGATAATGCACATAAAAAGTTAGAGAAATGAGTGTCAAAAAATTGAAATCAAGGAATTCATTCTAATAATAGTAACATTCTTCAAATAAATAAAGTTAACCCCCATTTGGGCCCATTATTTGGGGTTATAATTTTTGAAATAATTTTTTTAAATAATGTATGGTTGAAAAAAAATGAAAATTTTTCAATTTATGTGTAATATTATTTTAGTAAAAATTGTGTGATTGAAAATAATAAAGAAAAATTATAGTGTGAAATAATGGAGGCCAAATGCGAGTTAAATTTGGAATTTTTTTTTTTTACCTTCATGAAATTAGGTTTATTTTTTGTTGTGTTCCCTAGAATCTAGGATTCTAGATTGCCTTTATTGTAGGTGAGAATTCAATGAGAAAAAGAAAAAAAAAAAAAAAAAAAAAAAAAAAAGTAGGAACGGTTTCCCCCAGCAATTCTCTCATAATCTTGACCGTTGATCTTGGCTTGAAGCAATCTATCCATTATCGTATTTGGGAATGTTTGTGGAGAAGAGAGTACAGTAATCCAGACAGGACATCCCAATATTCGCCAAATAGCTTAAAGGCAGCGTAATCGAGACAAAATTTATAAACTCCATTTGATAAAACTTCCCTCAGGTCCGAACCAAACATAACAAACATAACCTTGCTGACACATTCTGCCCGACGCACGTACAAAGACCCCGAAACTTGACCCCTTTTCGAGAGGCCCTCTTCTCCAGAAAGAGACGTTGTAATTGCTAGAAAAAGGACGTTGCAGAAAAATAAAGTTTTGCTTTCAAAATCTGAAGAATAATAGTGCAAATTCTAGTACAAAGTTTGAATTTTTCATAGAGGAAGAGAGGAGGAAGATTATTCATTCAGCTAAACTACTAGGGAGCTAATGGGAAGTGGATTCAGGCTCATCTTTGATTGTATTTTGCTGCTGATGCTTTTTGGTAAGTAACCACGTTCCATTAATGGTGTTTTACTGATTCAGGTCTTAAGTTATGAAGTATTTTTCGTATTTTCATGGAATTTTTTGTTTGAATTAGTAGTGTTCTTAGTCAAGGTTAATGTTAAATTTTTTACCTTAATTAAAACAAGTTAAGGTTATTATGACCCTATTTCTACCTTTGCTTCTTTTTTGGGCTTCTGATGAATGTTTCTATTCAAGATTTATAGTATTTTACCATGCTTTGTTTAGCTTAAACCAGCATTTTTCGCTTTGATTATCCTTTCTTGTTAGGTAAATCAAACTGCAACATTTTCTTTTGACATTTGGGTCTTTTCCTCCATTGTCTGTCGTTTAACTATGATCTAGCTTTATTAATAAAAATTAGAGTGCATGACAGCATGAGTTGGATGTATCTGTACAGCACATTATTGAGTAAATTACTCTACTGGATGTACTTTGCAGGGGCATAACGTGACAGTGTGTGTGTGTGTATGTAAGCATTCATGTCAAGTAGGGTATGATTCTCGTAAACTAGGTAGGACCGGGCCCTCCTAAACTAGGTAGGACCCAGATTAAGTGCCCATCAACAATATGGACATCATTGACATTGGTGGTTTGTGATCCTCCAATTCATCTATAGTGCCTAATTTGCACTCTTTGAAAGACCCTGCTAAGTTTGATAATTTGCATCTTCTTTTGAGGTTGAAGATGCTTGCTTTTGCTTCTTCAGTGTTGGTCGATATCTTTCAATTAACTCAAATTCCGTTGCACCGGTGGACCTGCTTATCAAACTGTCTCTAGGTTGCCTGTAATTCAATAAATACATGATTATCAGGCTGTTGGTTATAGAAGTGAATAATTTTTGGTCGGACTCATCCCACCCGAGGTATGGATAACAAGGCCACATTCACAATCTTCTACCTTTTGTCCCTATTTTACTTAGGGCATTTCAATTGGGTTTCTTAACCATCCCTTAAGCATACATCTTTGTGTCAGAATAACTGACTGTGACTTATTTGGTTGTGTTCCATCTGTTAGGAATGTGCATGCTAATCAAACTTGGAATGTTGAGATGGGCTCATAAGTTATCTCTCCTGGTGTTATAACTTAAAACCATTCATTGAGCTTTAAGTTTGTGCTCGGCATTGGGTATCATATTACCTATTAATATGTAGAAAAATATGGATCTTGGTGAACAATCATGAACATATGGTATATTCATTGAGCTTTAAGTTTGTGCTCGGCATTGGGTATCATATTACCTATTAATATGTAGAAAAATATGGATCTTGGTAAACAATCATGAACATATGGTATATGCACTCCTGTAATTCACAGATGAGAACAAACCTGTGCTCAAACATGCCTCTATAGCCTATAAATGATAAATGATTAGACGTGTAACAATATTTGTTTTGGCATTATGATTTACGCTGCTAAACCATTTCAACTTGTGTGATAGGTATCTGCCAGAGCAGCACTGTTGGAGTGTGCTATGGAAGAAATGCTGATGATCTACCTACTGCAGATAAAGTTGTACAACTTATCCAACTTCACAATATTAAAAATGTGAGAATATATGATTCCAACATCCAGATTCTCAAGGCATTTGCAAACACTGGAATTGAGCTCATGATTGGGATCTCCAACTTAGACTTGTTACCATTTGCTCAATTCCAATCTAATGCCGATACGTGGTTGAAAAATAGCATTCTTCCTTACTATCCTGCCACAAAAATCACGTATATTACTGTTGGTGCTGAAGTTACTGAAGCCCCCAACAATGTCTCGGCATTGGTAGTTCCTGCTATGCAAAACGTTTTCACAGCTCTAAGAAAAGCTGGCCTTCATAGGAAGATCAAAGTCTCGAGTACCCATTCTTTGGGTATTTTGTCCCGGTCATTTCCACCTTCTGCAGGGGCTTTTAACAGTAGCCATGCTTTCTTTCTAAGACCCATGTTGGAGTTTCTTGCTGAGCATCAGTCACCTTTTATGGTAGACATATACCCTTACTATGCATATAGAGATTCCTCCAGCAATGTGTCCCTGGACTATGCGCTATTCGAGTCATCTTCTGAAGTTATTGATCCAAACACGGGTTGGCTATATACAAATATGTTTGATGCCCAGATTGATGCAATTTATTTTGCCTTGATGGCCTTGAATTTCCGAACAATTAAAATTATGGTAACTGAGACCGGATGGCCTTCTAAGGGATCCCCCAAGGAGACTGCTGCTACTCCAGATAATGCACAAACTTACAATACTAATCTGATCCGTCATGTCATAAACGATACCGGTACTCCTGCAAAGCCAGGGGAGGAAATAGATGTTTATATATTTTCATTGTTCAATGAAAATAGGAAACCTGGTCTAGAATCTGAGAGAAACTGGGGCTTATTTTTCCCTGACCAGACAAGTGTTTATAACCTTGACTTCACAGGAAGAGGTTCTTTGGACACGACTACAGGTTCTAACATCACCAGTTCAAATGGAACGTCGTGGTGCATTGCATCACCTACTGCTTCTGAAGATGATTTAAGAAAAGGTCTTGATTGGGCTTGCAGTTCTGGAAATGTGGACTGCTCTGCTATTCAGCCTAGCCAGCCTTGCTTTGAGCCAGATAGCCTGGCATCTCATGCTTCCTATGCATTCAACAGTTACTACCAGCAGAATGGAGCTACTGATATTGCTTGCCGTTTTGGAGGAGCAGGGATCAGAACAAACAAGAATCCAAGTAAGTTATCTATATCCACTTTTCAGTAATGCAGTATGCGTTGTCATTATTTATCTGCTTACAAATTAATATCCTATTTACCAGTGTTAGTGTATATATAAAAATTACAGTATTAACCCAGGTATAGACTTGGGGTATAGTACAAATCATATTGTAAAATTTTCTATGTGAAGTGGTTGATATGAAATTCTGTGGAAGATGAGTGTGTAACAACTTTTTCACACAAGGAGAATTGATAATGACTGTAATTACATTTAAGATCTTTTGTCAGTAAAAGACTTGACAATTTAGGCCATGATCTTGTGATATTCATGAAATCGTCAAGAACATGTAACTGAGGAAAATGCGAGGGATCTTTGTCGGTCTTTTGTAGTACACATGAGAAATTAACTTAAACCTTCTTGTTCTGCTTGTGCAGGCTATGACAACTGTTTATATATGACACTTGGGTAAGTTAAATTATTCAACGAACCATTTCATTTGACATTTACATACTAGTGTTAAACTTGCCCCAAATTGATCTTTACTTGAGTTGCTTCACAAATTCCACAGGAGCAACAAAACTGCTGCGAGTAATGCAACAGTGAGTCCTTCAAGATCTTCATCCTCAGTAGAAAAAGTTTCCGTATGGATTCCAGGTTGTTTGCTGATGGCTTTCCTTCCATTTCTCTAAATCCTCAGACGTTTTTGCCCTAGACAGAATTGTCTTTTGGAAGTAGATTATTTTTTGCAGATAAGATTAGAATCCCTCTTGACAAACAAGGAATGAACCTTCAAATGTGATTATGTATTTTAAAGTTGCATGTTGAGATTGTATAGCAATTAGCCCTCTAAATTTTGAAAATCCATTACCCCTCCCCCAAAGCAAATGGGATAGATATTAGATATTTTATTCTCTTGGGGAGAGAGGGCACACGAAAATCCAAGCTGAAAGCTCAAGTTTGAGTAATGACTGAACTCTCTGTTGGATACTTGTTTGCAAGTCTAGCTAAACCCCAAATTTAAGCCAAATTTGATATTTTGAACTGCAATCTTTCTTGGGTTGTCAATTCCAATTCCATTATACTTGTTTGAGATATGAAAGATTGTAAAGAATAATCTTTATTATATTTTCTCAATTGTTTAAGATTATTTTCCTTAATAGTTGATTGTTTGATTATCACGTAATTTTTCCTTTTAGAATTATTTGTAAACCAATAAATAGGGTCTTTTACTTTGTGATAGAAACACAAATTTATTATCTCCAATTTATATATTTTAATATGTTATCGAAGCGGGTTAAATTTTTTTTGGATTAAACTTGTAGGATTTCATTTTTAGGCGAGTGGCATCATGCTGCTCATCCGGTCAAGTTTTATTGTGTTTGATTAGATATCCTCATCTAGCCAAAATCTTTTTCTTTTTTATATATTCTGTTCATATTCTGTATAGTCAAGTCTTTTGTTTTTGTCTTTTTTCTTGATTTAATTTGAATTTGGACTCTAGATTAATTCAAATCCCATTGGATGTTGGCTATTCTTGTTATTTCTTCTTGGGGAGTTGATTTTCGAGAATTATCGCGCTGTTTTTTCATCAAATTTAGCTCTCGATTGGCTCTCATTCTATTTTATTTTTTTCTCTTTTATTTTCAACCACAATCTTTCATAAAATAATATTACATGTAAATTGAAAATTTTTCATTTTTTTTTCAATTATACATTCTTCAAAAAAACACTATTTCAAACATTAAAAAAAAAAAAAGGGCAAATGGGGGCTTATTTCCATTACACATGTTGTATTAGCCTCGTGCGCTAGGGTTCCTATTTTATCACTATTTTCTTTATCTAGTAAGTGTAGTACTAATATTACCCAAGAATTTTTGAAGTGCTACTATTAAACATTGTCTATTTTTGCCTATTTGGTTATTTTGATGCCTCTTGTTTTGACCTTGTTCGTTGTACTTGTGAGTTTTTCCTTCAAGTCTTGGTGATGGAGTGGTTAGATTGGTGGATAATGTACTTTTTCTTAACAACTTTTCATTCTTTGTTTAGCTTGATTGGCATACAAGCAATTTTGAATTATTATTCAATCCTTTAAAGAGAGATTAGATTGGATCAATTTAATTTTCAAATTCAATTTGATTGTCACTACACCTTATTGAGTTTGAAGGAGGGTGTTGGAGATATGAAAATATTGTAAAGAATAATTTGTATGATATTTTTTCAATTGCGTGAGATTATTTTCCTTAATAATTATTAGATTATGGACAATGTCATTTGTACAATATTTTTGACAATGTTGTATGTGTCAAAAAAGTATTAATTGGAAAGATAAATTGTTTTTTAAACTGTCCAATGATAACATGACTCGTGACATGTTGTCAACAATGTTGTAAAAAAGATTTTACATAAAGCATGATTGGGGTGTGATTGATTATTTTACATTAATTCATTTTTTTTTTCAAAATTATTTGTAACCCTGTAAATACTTAAATAGGATCTTTTAC